GATCGCAGGCCTTCCGCTCCTTGAGTTCTCTCCAGCGCTGGAAAACTGATTCGATATTTACACGGGTCCTACTTCTTGCCTTAAACCCTCGTTTGTTCCGCAGACGTGTTCCTCTATTGTTTTTTTATGTTTATTGGCGGTTGGCAACCTAACTGACTGGTGCATTACCGCCACCGACTGGAATAAAGTATGGATCAGGATTTTGCTTGTAGGACAAAATAAACCATAAAAACCAATCAAAACAAATAAATAAACCAGCAATTAAATCAAAACAAATAAAAAAAATTTAAAAAACAATCAAAAAGACTATATTCTTTAATATGAGTAGATTTAACCAAATTATGGTGACAAAAAGTCCCAGTCACATGATTCCGGACTACAATCCCCTGTCTTGGTTTTGGGTTTTCTTCTTCTTCTTTAGATTGGTGGCTGACAACCAATTTTAAAGGTGCATTATCGCCACATACCAGACTGGAGTGTGGAGCAGTATATGACAAACAAGGGAATTAATTATATTCTTTCCATCAATCCTGTATTTTTTAGGTAAATCATGAGATGTTTGACCACATTCCAAGTACTTCCTTCTAAAAGCTTCTGAACATTAACATTTACAATGTCTTTCTTTAGCATTTGAAACATTTCCCTTCTTTCCTACATTCCAATAACACATGTAACACTGATTCCGTTCCCTCACAATTTTCACACAAACCTGTTGGATGTTTGCCTATTTTTAGTATTGTCTGATTCAGTCCAGTATGTCCTATTCATCCGAGTGAACAAAACCTTGTTTTGCTATTCGGCCCGAATCAGTTTTCTAAAGCGTTTTTGAAAAATCGCTTACCCCACCCTTAATGTTCTACCGTTACCCTATTATATTCATCAAATAAAAATATACTTCTTTATGACTACCTTTAATGTACATATTTTATTTCTTTTATGTCAAGATGTCCCTTTTCAGTCACCTCAACAGTCGTCTTTAACCCAAACCACTGTGTTTTAGCCACTGCTAAAAACTCTTGAGTGTTACAGTACTTCTGTTATATGTTCCATGCAACTTTTCTGAAAAGAATACGTTATTTGTCTTAATTGTCACGGTCCTTTCAAGCTGTTTCTTCTCACAGTTTACAACCTTTTATAAGGGTAACAGAACATCTAGCCTATAAAAAATGTTATTTCAACAAACAGTAAATTCATTTATAAGTGTTTTAGTGACTGGTACTGAATGAAGAAGATCTAAAAAGAAATGACGATGCAGAAGTATCATTAACCTTTACAAAACCATTATAAATAAAGTCATATAGTTGCCATTTATAACACAAGATACTATAAAAGGGCTGTAAAATGGACCTTGTTGTTCTGTCAGGATTCATTATATGGCTTTACTGTAACTATTGTCCCCACACACCTTACACTGATCAACCAGCCACGTAAACACGTTTGTCAGTAATTATCCAAAGCAGAAACTTCATCCACTGCCCACTGTTACGTTAACGCACCATAAATGGCACTGATAAAAGCACTGTAAATATTGTCAAGTCTCAAAGGGCATTCTGTGCTATCAGTCAGAGCCTGTGCTGCACTGAGAAGAACACAGCCTTTGACAATTTCTCCTGACTTATAACGTTTTTTATACAGATCCATCGCAATGTGTACTGGGAAGTGTGCACGGTTAGTGGGGCTAATTCTTCTGTCCTCAGCTTTTTTGTGTATAATAGCCAATATACTTCTATTCTTCCCTAACGGAGAACAGTTGGAAACTGGCCAGATTTCCCTTCAAGTCTGGCTTATGGGAGGTGTTCTTGGTGGAGGACTAATTGTGAGTAATTCAGTCTGTTAAATTCTGATCTCATCATTAATGTGGTGTTTGCCTGAACTTGGCTGTTTCCTAAAAAAAAAAAAAAAATTTGGCTGTCTTGTTATTATGAGATGCACTCACAAAAGCTGCCACTGGGGTGGTACTTTTTCGAAAGGTACAAATATTAATATGTACTAATATGTACACTTTAGGTATTAATATGTACCTTTAAGGTACTTACTAATATACCACCCTGTAGGGGTAAATAAGGTTCAAATGTGTACCTTTCGAAAGGAACGGGTACCACCCCAGTGACAGGTTTTGTACCTTTTTATTTTCTGAGAATGTGCGATAGGAATTTTATTGTTTACTAAAATGAACAGGCCTAACTTGGTCTGATGTTTTAGGTAGAACATCAGATACTTCAAACACACTGCTACAAGGCTTTGTGTGCTATTTATTTTATTAATGTCTATGATAATACATGAGCAGGATGGATAAATCCTGAGTAAAGTTATGTAAGGTGGCTCATGTTCACATCAAGCAATAATTGCATTTACAGAGGAACATGCTACGAGCAAGTACACATATCACAGAAAAAGTAGATTGAGTTTGATGTGTAATTTAGTGCATTTTGATTAGGGTGACCATACGTGCCATTTTCCCCGGACGCGTCCTGGCCAGGATTTCTATATTGCTTTGATTCAAAGTACCTCGACAGCGTTTCGAAAACACAAGGAACCGATGTCATACACCGATCGGTCTGCACACGCAAACAAAGCCAAACCCTAGATATTTTAGGCAATATAGAAATCCTGGCCAGGATGCGTCCGGGGAAAATGGCACGTATGATCACCCTAATTTTGATAAAACAATCACTCTCTTTTAAAAATAAAGGTTCCAAAAAGTGATTTTGCACAGTGATGTCAGAAGAACAATTTAGGGTTTCCAAAAGAAGCATTTAGTGAACAGTTATTTAAAGAAAAAATTTTTATAATCTGAAGAGCATTTTTCCACTATAAAGAATGTTAAAAGTTCTTCATGGAATCATAGATGCCAATAAAGAATCTTAATTTTTAATGTTTATCCTAGATTAAGTAATTTACAGTAACATTATTTAACCTGCTTTACGGCAAACCTTATCTCGTTGAGATCACAGTTGACGGGAAGTTAATTTGCACTCACTTTTATTCATCAGATGATGTGTCCAAGCTGCTCAGCCATCAGAGCCGGGGGCAAAGGCTGTTGCGGGGCAGGTTGTTGTGGAAACCGTTGTCGTGTGAGTAAATCTGACAAAGAAAAACACCCAAAAATGTAACTATTTAACCAAAAATTGTAAAATCACTATCATTCACAACAAGAAGCTCACTAGTGAAGCCGTACAAAGTGAAAAGATAAAAACAACATTCTCTTTTGCATATACACAAATGTATTGTACAGATAAATTATATGCAGTCTATATATAATGTTTAATGTTTCATGTTCTTTTTGTTTTGTTCAGATGCTGAATTCTGTTTTCTCTTCTGTATTTGGCATTGTTGGGTCGGCCTACTGTGCCTGTGTTGCCATTGCAGCACTTTCTGTTGGGCCACTATGCCAAGTCGAGAGTGGTAAATGGGAATATCCCTTTGAGGACACGGCAGGGTAAGAACACCTAAAACCTAAAAGAAAAATGAAATGAATGCAATGAAATAGCAAGGGAAATCGCAGTTCTTTGTATGGCCACTAGATAAGGTCTTATCCTGCACTTCAACTAAAGCTCCTTCTCTCTTCTTTTTATCTTGCTGTAACAGGAACAGCAGTTACCTGGGGGATGAGACTACATGGTCCAAGTGTGTCTTTCCCGAGAATGTGGTTCTCTGGCACATCGTGCTGTTCTCCATACTTTTGGGTCTGTCTCTGATCCAGATGATACTCTGTGTCATTCAGGTTGTGAATGGATGTGTAGGCTGCCTCTGTGGAGACTGCCGGAAAAAACAACCGGTAGAGTTTACATAACAGCATTTACATTTACATTAACACTGAAACAGTTGTGAGTTTAATTTCTCGAACAAAAGCTACATCTGACAGATTGGCATGTAAAAGAGAATCACGTTTTGCTGTCTACTAAATAGAATATTGGCAGCAAATAGACTCTGTATTATAACCAGTTACCATAGACCAACAAATCCAAACTGTGTAAACATTCAGACCTCTCAACACTAAATAATAATGAGATGCCCTTTTCATAAATTGGGAATGATCTTTCTTCTTTGTACAACAGGATGAGGGAGGTCTGTGAGATCTGCGGAGGAGGAAAACAACAACAAAAACAAAAACAAATCAACAATGATTCAATCGGGAGTCCTCATAACAGGATAAGAGCTTTCACACAACACTAACAACTTGCAATCCAAGCCATCACTAAAAAGAGATGTTGTGTGTAAATGTAACTTTATTTTAACTTTATTATGTGTTAGTGCTACTGTAGCAGTAAATTATAAATATCAGTCACGGTAACCTTGATTTTATGATAGAAATTGTATAGAAATTCTTTGTCCTTTTTTATAAACGTTGTGCATTTTGGAATACTGAATCATCAGGTCCTAATGATCCAGTACAACCTTCTTTCACAATAAACATAATTTGCTGACATTTTTTGTGTCTCATGAGCCATAAATTGTAGTTTTGTAGTTATTAACTTGAGTAATGTATATCTTTAGAGTTGGCATCAGACTGCATGAGAATGATATTTCCTCTACAGGTTACATAAATACCCTGAGTGTTTTCTTTTTCTTGTGTTCTTGGCAGAAGGCATCAAGTTTGTGTGTGTGTGTGTGTGTGTGTGTGTGCGCGCGTTTTTGTGACAAATGAAGACATAAATTTGTATAATGACAAGGGTATTACAAGGAGAAGGTGACTTTTCAGGACATTACCCCATGTCCCCACTTTTCACAAAAACAAACCTGTGTGTGTGTGTGTGCGCGCGTTTTTGTGACAAATGAAGACATAAATTTGTATAATGACAAGGGTATTACAAGGAGAAGGTGACTTTTCAGGACATTACCCCATGTCCCCACTTTTCAAAACACTTATAAATCACACAGAATGGAGTGTATTGAAAATCTGAAATAGCACAAAGTTTCCTGTGAGGGGTAGGTTTAGGTGTAGGGTTGGTGTAGGGCAATAGAATATACGGTCTGTACAGTAGAAAAACCATTACGCCTATGGGATGTCCCCACTTTTCAAAACACTTATAAATCACACAGAATGGAGTGTATTGAAAATCTGAAATAGCACAAAGTTTCCTGTGAGGGGTAGGTTTAGGTGTAGGGTTGGTGTAGGGCAATAGAATATACGGTCTGTACAGTAGAAAAACCATTACGCCTATGGGATGTCCCCACTTTTCAAAACACTTATAAATCACACAGAATGGAGTGTATTGAAAATCTGAAATAGCACAAAGTTTCCTGTGAGGGGTAGGTTTAGGTGTAGGGTTGGTGTAGGGCAATAGAATATACGGTCTGTACAGTAGAAAAACCATTACGCCTATGGGATGTCCCCACTTTTCAAAACACTTATAAATCACACAGAATGGAGTGTATTGAAAATCTGAAATAGCACAAAGTTTCCTGTGAGGGGTAGGTTTAGGTGTAGGGTTGGTGTAGGGCAATAGAATATACGGTCTGTACAGTAGAAAAACCATTACGCCTATGGGATGTCCCCACTTTTCAAAACACTTATAAATCACACAGAATGGAGTGTATTGAAAATCTGAAATAGCACAAAGTTTCCTGTGAGGGGTAGGTTTAGGTGTAGGGTTGGTGTAGGGCAATAGAATATACGGTCTGTACAGTAGAAAAACCATTACGCCTATGGGATGTCCCCACTTTTCAAAACACTTATAAATCACACAGAATGGAGTGTATTGAAAATCTGAAATAGCACAAAGTTTCCTGTGAGGGGTAGGTTTAGGTGTAGGGTTGGTGTAGGGCAATAGAATATACGGTCTGTACAGTAGAAAAACCATTACGCCTATGGGATGTCCCCCCTTTTCACAAAAACAAACCTGTGTGTGTGTGTGTGTGTGTGTGTGTGTGTGTGTCTTTGCGTTTCTATTTTCTAGTTTAGAGTGAGACTCTGAAACCTTGGGCTGGCTGTTTTCCATTTGCTTTCTGAATAGTCTGATAAAAACCACCATGTTCCTTTTCGCTTTCCTCCCTCCATCTCGACACCTGTGTCATTCACTCTTTTCACTACTCACTGCTTTCACTATTGTAACTCTGACACCGGCACAAACCGGATCTTGCAGCAAGCAAAGGAAAACAGTAAGTCAAACCCCCTGGTGGTGAAAGCCAGACCTGCAGCTGTAAAAACATTCATACACTGAAACCAGGGAGTGTTTTAAGAATAAGAGGCATTCTCAAAAAGAGCATCAGATTCCTTTAAAGTACTCAATAAAGTCTATTGCTATTAGCTCCCTGAACTCGGACATGCTTATGAATATAGACCCTGTGCTCAAATTGAGCTCATAATCATTGTTACCACAGCAGCCCTCCACTCTAATTGCTAATCCTGCGCACAAACACCTATTTGAAGCTCATGCTAGGATAAAGGCAGCAGAATCTCAAAACAAGCTTACAGATTGCCCAGACCAAGCAAACTGGTCATTGTAAACATGCCATATATGTCTCAGCCACAAGAGGAGAGAGGCAACAGCATGTCCTAGTACACATTACTACGTCAGCTTGATGAATAGGCCTAGACCTTGTTCAAACCAGACCAGTGTGTTCCAGAAAAGGATGTTCTGTTCTTATTGAGATCACATATGTGAACATACACATAATTGCATGACATAAATGTAAAATATTTTATTTGAATTATATATAATTAACCCTAATGTTCTGGTCATTTTGACCTGGAGAGGATTTTATTTTTCTCTAGTTAATGTTGAGAGGCGGTTGTACTAAAGGCTTTGGCATGGACCAGGCCAGACTAATTCGATGGCCATCCACCATTTAGACACAGAGAACAGGCACAAAACACTCATCAACTTCCACAATGGCTCCAGACAATAGCAGAAGGAAACAGACCAGGATCAGACTGGATGGAGCATGTGAACGGATGTTATTAAATTCAAACAGCATTCTGTTTAAAGGTTCATTAAATTCATATTTAAACTTGATTAATCCTACTGAAATTAAAGAGGATTTGTCTTTGTATGTCTTTACGAATGTAAACTCGGATTGTAGAATCATCCTGAATTCCTGAAGAATCATCCGCTTCATGTCACTGCATGTCTTTCTCTGCGTGATTCATTACCTCTAAAATCGACAAGTAACATCATAGGCATTATTGGTCATGTGAATGTAGGAATTTGACGCTGCCTTGTTATGAGCTCACACACACCCCAGAGAACTGTGTGTGTGGAGGGGAGGCGGATTGTTGAAAGGGACAAAATTAGGGAGGTGGGGGGTTGCAATTTTGGGGAGGGGGTATTTTGGGGTGAGAACAGGGTGGGAAAACTGGTAAAAAGTGATTCAAGCCGGACTAGGGCAGATATTCTGATACCAAACAACAACAGCATGCAAGTAAGCTCTGTAGCTTTAGTGTGCATGAGAGAGTAAATACTCATTAAATCACTCATCTTCCTCTGAGAGTTTGCACATATGCCAACTCAAATAGAAACCGTCAGGCGTGTCATTTCTTTTTAGGTTTCTGCAGAGGATTTTTGTTATTCTGTTTAAACTATTGCACTTATTGAATGCTTGTGCTTTAAAGCACAGTTTGTTCCTCCAACACATTTTTTTCTTTAGCTTATTTATCTCTCATTTTGAAAGTGTATATCAGTAAGTCTTTTCTATAATAAACACTTAATAGAGATAGTTGATGGTGTTGATCATAGGTAATTATTCTTCTCACAGTGCCACACAAAGCAGGAGAGAGTTGATTGGATTTGGCTAAATCACCAGCAATAGTGGGAGAAACATGATGGAAAATCCATGTGATTGGATTTGACAAAAAAACAACAAAAAATCTCTGTCCATCACACTAACACTGATTAAATATGGTGCTCTCTTATTATGTGCATTAGGTAAGTGACAAACCATCTTTTTAAAATGATATGATTTAGAGACAATGCTCATGGAAAGTAAATCTGGTGAAGCAAAACAAATGGAATGTATCAATAGTATACAGATAGCTAGGCCTACATTAGCTTGTCAGTGGAAAACTAAAAGCAGTGATCCATAATCTGTTTGCATAAACATGGGTTCTTCTTTGTATGCCCTCTATGTGTATGGTATAATACACTCCTAAATGTGACCTTAATTGTGTCATCTCACTTCTGTAATAAGTTTGCACCGTTGCTATTCTTATCCTGTGATATCTGACCTCAACAACACCATTTCGTTAAACAGCCTGCAGTCAAACATTCAGTATACTGTATATGAGGTATCAGATCCCATTTCATGCTCATTCATTCTTTTCCTTACATGGGGGAACAGGTTTTTAACAGAGGGTTTAGGATGCTCCCTATCACTGTTTAACAACAAAGGTACAAAAAGATATTTTGCTCTAAAAGCATGGAGGTAGAGAGTCATAAATCTACTTTCTTCCTGTAGATGTCAAAATTAGAAAAAAGAGCAGGGAGGAGCTAAACAGGAGAAACAGGTGAAACGAGGAGAGAAAGAGATGAAAATTAAACATTAATTTGGCTTCAATCATTTTTTCTTTTCTTTTTTTTGAGTCCAAAGTTGCACATAAAAGGGATTTGGGTTCAGAGAATGAAATGGATCTCTCAACTAACTGAAAAAAAAAAAATAAAAATCCCACCACAACTCATAAAATAATTTCCTGCTGTCCCATATGGATGATGAGAATTCAAAGAAAATCTCAGGGTTTATTTATCCTTTTAACACTGTTCCTGAATCAGCCTTCAAATGGAAGCAATTAAAAGATAGGGCAAACGTCAGACTGCTCTCTGATCAGTGGCAAACAGGTTAATGCTATTGGTACTAAGTCACACAATGCTAATTTCCAGCAATGGGGGGCCTTGGCCTTCAACCCAGATTGTGCAGCAGGCTTGCTGTTCAGAATTCTAATCGGTTTCTCCTTTGGAATTTGCTGCTGTAAATTTCCACTGAAAAAAAAAAAAACTGCAAACAGACTGTCAGCTATAAAATAAAAATGAATAAGGGTGTAAATACATATTTCCTGGTCTATGCTGATGTTGCTGGTATATGTGTTTCTTGGAAGTGTAAAGATTAGCTTTTTTTGTTTGATCTTTTACTCTTGAGAAGTTGCCATGCTATTCAAATTC